GAGAGAGAGAGAGAGAGAGAGAGAGAGAGAGAGAGAGAGAGAGAGAGAGAGAGAGAGAGAGAGAGAGAGAGAGAGAGATGGGAATGGGGAGGAGAGAGTAGGGAGCGGGTAGTGGGGCAGGAAGGGAGGAGAAGGGGGGACAGAGAAGGCAGAAAGGAGCCACAGTGGGTATTGCACCTGACATAGAACAGGATGCATGGAGTAGTAGTTGTGGCCGAGCCTGGCAGGAGCAGTAGCTGTACTGTCCACAGACTGGTAGCCATGGTGCTCTAGCGGGAGGAACCCTTAGCCTCCAGGTCAAAGGACGTCACAGCTGTGCTCAGCACAGAGTATCTTTGCTTCTCTTTGTTCATCAGCTACCCGGTACTTACCTGTGGCCGTGACTTTGAGTGTTGCAGCAGGGAAAACACTCAAGTAGCGGGGATAGGCCCGCGACACTTAGAGCAGCGGGGGGAAACACTCAAGTAGCAGGTAGGCCGATACCACTCAAGTAGTGGTAGGAGTGTCGAGTACTGGATGCCGAGCAGAAGAAGACAAAAAGTTGGCATTTTTAGAGGCCCAGTAGCGGTAGGATAGAGGTAGGCCGGTACCAGTCCAAGTAGCCTGAGTCGAGGGCCTGTCCGGACGATAGCAGAGCCTGCAATGATGTTTCCCTCCGAAAGGGAGGAGGTACCGGTTGCTGGGAGGCCGCTCGGCCTAGGAAGTCACCGCCCAAGAGGCCAGTAGGCCGCTGTATCTTCGGGAGGAGCGAGTAGCTCCTCCTCATTTGCGGTATGCAAGGATTGGCGACATGCTGCTGACCCAAGCGCTGGACTTGTGCAGAGCTGCCTGGAGGTGAAGGGCAGCTGGGCGCTCAGCCTGGCTATGGCGAGCAGCCCAGCTTGAGGAGGAGGAAGAAGGGAGCAAAGGAGGAGAGTGGCGAGGCACCTACCTGGCTATGGTGGACACCATCTTCATCACCTTGTTGGGCGCTGCATCTGGAAGGCCCCAGTTGGGGTAGTCCCACACCAAGGAAGCTCGAGGCAGAGTCAGGCATGGCGGCTTAGTCAGCAGCGGCATAGCTGCTTTGGGTTGTCCTTTGGACAGGAGGGCAGGGCCCTCAGTAGTCCACCATAGCCTGGGCATGTGAGAGGTGGAAGAAGGGGGGAATCAGCTATGGTGGACCTGTTGTTGTTGTTGTTGTTGTTGTTGTTGTTGTGTCAGCAGTAAGAGGGAACTTCGGACATTGATTCTGGTTCATCCACTCATTGTTATTATTACTATTATTGGAAGAAGAATAAGATTGGCAAAGTGAAGGAGGAGGAGGAAGGTGGAGAGAGAAGGGGGATTTGTCATTGGTCTTGCTGGTGTTCTTCTTCTTCTTCTTCTTCTTCTTCTTCTTCTTCTCCTTAGCTAATGGTTATCTTTACAGATTATAAATTTTTCTTTGTTGCATTGAACCTGCAGGTTGTATCGAGCCACCTAGCAGTGTCGAAGGGAAGAACCATGAGCCAAGTGTTTGCTCAAATTCTGAGGAATGAGGGCCCGGTTGGTTTATACAGGGGCCTTGGGCCCAGTGTGATAGGGATGATACCATATGCTGGCATCAACTTCGGCGTATATGACTTGCTGCAGGAGGCATTGAAACGGGCCGCCGGTGCGCGAAATCGGGAAGTAGGAGTCCTGTCCACAATGTTTTGTGGAATGGTCGCATCCGGGGTGGGCATGATGGTTTCATTTCCTCTCGAAGTTGTGCGCAGGCGGCTGCAGGTCAGCATTCCTCTTCGTTCTTTTTTTTTTTTTTTCCTTTGTTGTTAGGATCATATATTAAACTGATCAGAACAGATACTTTGTTCACTTGATCTATTTTTAGCCAACAGGCCGAGAAAGGTAGCATTCCTCTTTTTTGGTTTTCATCTTCTTATCCGCTCTCTCTCTCAAACTCTTTTTCCCCTTCCCCTGTTTTCCCAAGATTTTAGGCTTTTTTTTAAAGTTTTTGCAAGGGAAATGAGCAATAGCGAGATGACAATGTCCAGCATGCACAATCACATTGAAGGCCAGATAGTATCACAGTGTCCAGAAAGCAGAAAGGCACCAATATAATACCAAAGAAGATTCGTAACACTGAAAACCAAAAAGAAAAGAAAGAAAAAAAAAAAGAAGTCAATGAGAGCTTGCTCTCGCCACCACCAACATGAGTGTCCAGGCCCTATCTTCCTACTTGGCGCTCGGCGCCCAGCCTACTATCTACACAGCTTCTCTCTGCCTACTAATTGACAATGCAACGGTTGACGTCAGCAGCCTCCGAAGTACTTGAAGATGTCGCCCATGCAGACTATCGCCAATACCAGGTATGTGCCCTCACATCATCATCATCATCATCATCATCATCATCATCCTTCTCTCTCTCTCCCTCGTCTTACTCCCACATCTTCCCTTTGTACACCCGAAGACCACTCCTGCGCCTCACTGCACAACCAAGCCCAACCAGCTATGGAGGCAGCGCCCTGTTCCCTGCACGACCGCACGCGCTTGCACCGCGCCTCTCAGCGCCAGCAGCAGCCCACGAGTGTCCGCTCCAGCAGCGCTGGCGCTAGCATGCGAGTGCCTGAATGCGCCTCCAGGCCGTGAGCTCTTTCCTATATGGAAAGAGCCTGTCTGTCTTCGCAGCCTGGCTGGCTTGGGCCTGGGCCCAGAAGCTTCCGGTAGGCCCCAGGATGCTGCGCCTCTCTTGCAGATACTAGGCCTCATTCGGTTGGGCCTCCCAACTGTCTGTGTATGAGGCGGCGATTCTCGTCCAGGGCCTGCATCGTTTTGGAAAGGCCTGGAAGGCCGTCAAATGTCTCGCTGCTCGGCCTGTGTTTCCCTCAACCAACTGGCGCGACGGAACTGCCTGGACCCCAAATACGATATTGACAGCTTGCAGTCCGTGAAGATTCAGAATGGCCAAAAATAGCCCAGTAAAAAAATAAAATAAAAATTTCTGGTCACTACATACATAAGCATACTGCAGGCGGTTGGTGAGTTTCTGTCTAGGCTACCAGAGTGGCCTGGGTCCACTTGCCCGGCCGGGCCAAAGAGAAACGAGGCTACCAGCTGGGCCGCCTGGGTCACCCTATTTTCCCGGGCGGCCCGGCCGTGCAAGGACCAGGGGAGGTCCCAGCCAAAAAAAAACAACAACAAAAAACTCCAAAAAATCCGAAAAAAACTATGTTATCATTGTTATGCAGAAAAATAAACTGAACAACTTTTGCCTCAGTGTCACATCTTCTTTACCAAATTTAAAATAACAATTTAAATTAAAAAATATTTTTTATTTTTTTATTTTTTTATATCTTTTTGGCCCGGCCGGGCAATTGGACCCGGGCCACTCTGGTAGCCTAGAAGAGAGATAAAATATATATATATATCGTCACAAATAGAACTGCCTACGGTAAACCGTAGGCAGAGAGGGAGAAGAGGACAACAAACGAGGGGCTGTGACAAACTGTTTCGTCGGAGTTTCACCAACTCATCAGGAGGCTGAATATATTTTTTTTTAATTTTAATTTTAATTTTATATTTGGTAAAGAATTTCATTGTGACCCTGAGGCAAACGTTGTTCAGTTTATTTTTCTGCATGACATAGTTTTTTTTTCGGATTTCTAAACATCATTTTTGGATTTTTTTTTTTTTTTTTTTTTTTGGCTGGGACCTTCCCTGGTCCTTGCACGGCCGGGCCGCCCGGGAAAATAGGGTGACCCGGGCGGCCCGGCTGGTAGCCTAGGTTTGTGTGTGATAGTTGTTGTTTTTTGTTTGTTTGTTTTCCGTTTGTGTGTGTGAAACGGTATTCACCAATTCGCAGTAGCGAATGCAGATCCCGGGGCTCGATCCCTAGTTCGCCGTCTTACCTGTATAGTATTAGTGTCAACCCGTAGACTTGAACCTGCAACCTGTAGGAACGCCAGTGGTAGGTAGGTTGTCGTAGGTCACAGGGTAGAAGGGAATCGAACTGTAGACTTGTAGAGTAGGAGTCTAGACAATTCCGAAGTCGTAGTTGTAGGATCTCTGAAGGGTCAAGGTTGTAGCTGCTACTTACCTGAAAGGGCAAAGTCGTAGCTGTTACAGTACCGAAAGGCCAAACGAGAGACTTCTAGAAGTGGCCTTTCGGAGTTAGCGTGCGTTCAACAGAGGCAAGTGGTCAAGTGGTGGTAGGCCACCTCGCTGAGTCAACAGTCCCAGTTAGTCAGTCCGGTCCTGTCCAGCAAGTACCGTCTGGGACTGTGGGCACATCGTGGGCCAGGGGATACGGGGCAGACCAACGCAGCGCCGAAGTATAAATCAAGAGGCTGCGTCCAGCCATTCATTCATTCCTGCGGATGCCATGTGGAAGCGCTGCCTCAGCAGCTTGTGCGAGGAGGTCTGCAGTGCGCCCGAAGACGAAGTGGGCAGAGAAGTGTAGTGTAGCGATAGGGTAGTGGTAGCTAGTGCTGCCATAGCTGTAGTAGTGTGTGTTGTGTATGGTTACAGGGTGTTGCGTGTGGGACATCCAGGGTGATCCAGAGTGCGAACAGTGAATTGTGTGGGCGCGAGTTCGCCATAGCCAGTTGGGAGAGAACTCTTATCTGGTTACGATATCTTGGAGTACTGTGTGGGCGCATGTCGCCAGTTTGCTGTATCGCTGTTTGCAGGCATGATGAAGTGTGAATAAGTCGAGTCTGATTGCATGTGTGTGATATCACTGTGTGCGATAGTTTTTACCACTGTCGTACATCACATCTGTAAACACATTGGATTGATACAGGGAAGATTTTTTATTTTTTATTTTTATTTTTTTTGGGAAGGGGGGGCGGGGGGGGGGGGGGGGGGGGGCAAGCAGGGAACATTACCATGGCCCCTGTGCAAGGATGACACACATGTAATGAACCAAAAGGGTCTTCGAATTAGACCCCAGATAATACCCCAACAGCGAGGGGCCCTGTCGGCCAGAACTTACATTCACGAGCTGCAACCAAAAAGACATAGTTCCTGAGGCAAATGTCGCATCCATAATGAAATGAAAAGTTGTTTCAAACAGTCACAAACAGGTCCTGCACGAACAGGTATCGGCCACAGTTTTCAAGACCGAGTTAGGGTCATGTCTCTTCGATAAAAAGTCAGTCTGTTCGGCAATAAGTCAAAGGCTACAGTCCCAGTTCAGTCATAACTCCACGAGTCAGTCCTGATTCAGACCTGGAGTCTAAAAGACAGGCCCGATGGCCCAAAGCAGCAGCAGACCCTGGGAAAAGACACTGGGACACACACTTTGCAACAACGGGTACTGGGCAGGAGTCCCAGGGACACTTGAGGCTGAACGCAGGCCACGCCAGACCAGTGCAATAGATGCGTGTGGGCTGCGCTAGGCTGAAGAGCAGCGCTATGTGGGAAGGAGGAAGAGAGTGATGGCTATAGGGAAGGCAGCCATAGCTGCGCCAGCGCTAGTTAGTTTGTGAGTAGGGATAGTCAGCAGGAGACTCCAGTGAGTAGTATTCATAGTAGATCCTCGTTTGATAGGGAGTGTGCATGCATGTGGAGTGAGAGTAGACCAGGACTATAGATCAGGAGGGAGAGAAGAGAGAGAGAGCAAGGAGGAAGAAGTGAGTTATGGTGACACCTACCTGTTGAGCGCTGTTGTTGACATTTGGCCGCTGGTGCTGATGAGCGCCAGGCCTGGGAACACATGTCGATTGAAGAAGACCCGTAACTCTGTTCGGCGCTGTACATTTTCCACTCTTGATATTCTCTCTTTAATCTGGGTTTGATTATTGAATTCAGCTTCCTGCTTCTCATTCATCTTCTGTTGGGCTTTGTGTGAGCCATCACAATCTGTCAAATCTGTGTATATGCGTGTGATCTGAAGCACTCCAGCAAGTGATGAACAGTCGGGTTCCTTGCAGAACCCAGTCTCGTTAAGAAGCCAGTCAACAATGCAATAGAAATTATACAAGTCGGAACCCAGCGTGCCTCAGCAAGTCTTCAATATCAATTACAAGTCCATGTCTCGAACATATGCACAACTCAAGAGTGTTGCCCATCAAAGAAAGAGCATGAGACGAGAGAAAGAGGAGAGAAAAGACACAGAAGAGGAGGAGGATAGTCACCAGACTCACAACGATAATCAATAGTACATCTCTCTCTCTCTCTCTCTCTCTCTCTCTCTCTCTCTCTCTCTCTCTCTCTCTCTCTCTCTCTCTCTCTCTCTCTCTCTCACTCACTTCCACTTTGGGCTTCTCCCCCATCGCCACCGCAGCAGTGTATGTTCCCTCTGACGTCGTCTGATATAATCACTTGCGCAGATCATTACAGGGCGCGCTCATCTTCCCTCCACGTCATCAAGCCAGCGCAAGGCAGAATGCCTTCCCCAGTGTCTGTCTCTCCGTTCGTAACATCAACTGGTGTTCACTGGCATGGAAAGGTCTCCCTTTTGACGATGTCGACGCTTCAGATTTGCCCGGGGTCTCGACAGCCTGGATGCAGCCTTGAAGCAGATGTACCTTTCCCCAGTCGGGACCGGAATCTTACGGATACCTGAAGACGACCATTGATGTGCATCTGATCTATGGCCGGGGCTGACTGCTGGGTTG